CATGACCCTGTTAAGAGGATCATTTTCTGCGTTCTGCTTCGAATAAACAAACGCAGCAGGTTGCAGCCAAGTGCCGCAACCTGGAGGAGGGAAGCGTTCGGGGGCAAGCAGGAGGCCATTTTCCACGCGAAGGAGTTGTTGCCAAAAGCCGAAGCCAAATAGACTTCTGAAACCACGGGCTTTAGCTGGCAGTGTCCTTTACAAACTGCGAACTGCGAGATCTGCAAGCATTTGACTGCAGGTCTGCTTTCAGCCTCGAGTCTAGTATTGGCACTTCGTGGCCGGGTGAAACGAAAACTGATCCGAAATGATGATTTAGCAGGACGGCAGTAGAAACGGTCTGCCAACCTCAGCGATGCCGGACGTTGGTTCAATGGGTTGTGCCATCAGGGCTTTCTCCCCCGCGCACTCCCCAGATTTTCTGTCCAACAGCTAGTGAAAACTGCTCCGTGCCATGGGCCTGAGTGCATCTGCGTGACTCTCTGCATTCGTGCAAGGAATGCTGAAGCAAGTACAGGCAAGCAACACGTACGTGAGTCCCTGAGTAATGCATCGGACATTACACCAATGCCACTCATGCACGGCACCAAACGTATTATGTGGTTGCCTTCTTCCTCAATAATGGCAAGGTGAGACTCAGTTACAAGGCTACGCGCTGGTCGCGAGCCTTCCAAAACTCGCCTCGCCTCGAATGCTTGGGTCGTTGACAAGTTCAAGTCTGATTCCCTTTTGCGGCCTGGCCTTGGCGCCTAGAGTGTCCCAGTGGAAGCATAGCCGCAGGCACAGCCACTTGGCAGTGTCTCTGATTGAAATTGACAAATCAGATGTCCCCATAGCTGTGCCAGTCTTGCCCAGCCACCGGAAAAATTGAATGACTCCCAATGCTTGAAGCGAGGCAGCACTTGCACATTGAGCCTCCAGGGGAGGACACAAATTTCTTGCCAGGAGATGCCAGGAGAGGGGGCAAAAAGCCTTGTAAATCACCCGCGAAAAAATCAGCATGGCTCAATTCTCCGGCGCACCATTGAACGGATCTACCATTTTCGGCCTCTCCCAGCTATCTTTACATGCCAAAAGCCTGTCCGTTTCGGAAAGTGCGCGCATGCGTCTTCCACGTTCCTTTACAGTATTGCAATGATCTAACAAGTCAACCTTCCACAGGCGGGGTCGTTTTTGAAGTCTCCTCTTCACGTCCGTACAACCTTAAAGCTACAATGACTGTGGCTCAGTGACTCCCTTGATGTAGTCGGCGCCGACTACCTGGGCCCGTGGATCACACGAAGTTTACAAGTAATACGTCAAGTTCGCTATTGCCCACCGGTGCCCTGACCAAACACAAAGCTTGAAGATCCAAAAGGCTTAGCAGGATTGGACAACTCAGGGGTCTCGGTGCGTCCCTGGAGGTGTTACCTTTGTGGTCATAAACCGGGAGTTGCAGTGCGCCGACCCACTTGCTAAACAACAAAGCTACGGAGCCTAATATACTTGCAAGCCCTTGCCATTGGCTGGGGATTTCAAACATGTCTCTTGTCGTGTGCTTTAGGGAAGTCAAGAAGCGATTTCTCGTAGTAATTCGAACGCAATATTACAGGATTGAATGACATAACCGGCATGAACAGCAAGCCGTTCTTGCCACTGCAGTTCTAATTGACCGTGGTACGGGTTGCATACCGAACTCGGCAACAAAAATGATGCCCTGTCGCTAAGCCGGATTGAATTGCCTGGTTTTCAGCAGATATTTGTGTTTGAATCCTGGAGCTACAGGCCAAACGGACCAAAGCCGCCCTGCACCGACCGAGCCACGAAAGTGCAAGAACCTCTTTCACAAATCAAAGCAGAAGCGTCTTCCCATACTGATCAAGCGTTGATATATCGAAAGCATGGCTTGTGAAAAGTCATAAGTTTGCGCAGCCCTTGCTCTCATTTGCAGTACTCGAGCTTGGCCTCGGGGTCTCAAAAATGGCACTGCTCAAACAACGGTTAAATATGCGCCTTGTTGGAAAATGAGCGGCAGCTCCGTCTGCAGCATGTCGTGGGCAACTACTGTCAACCCCAAAAGCCTTACTTGTTGCTGTTGTTGTTGTTGTTGTTGTTGTTGTTGTTGTTGTTGTTGTTGTTACTGCTGCTGCTGTTGTTGCAATGCTTACTGGCACGAGGACTCTACAAGCATGCCATTCAACAAGCTTACTACTTTGGTTTGCGGCATTTCCAACACCCTTACGTCAGCGCAACATGCACATGCTCCTCGCGACCTGCAAGGCCCGCAAGACCAAGAAATGGAGCCGCGCCACCGCGTCATCTTGTGCCACAGGGTTTGCCGCCTCGATCTCCTCAGTCTTCTGCTCCTGGCAGATGGGCCATTGACAAAGTGTTCCGACACTTGGCTCACAGGTTTGGAGGACCATGCCACGTGGAAAGCAGGTGTCGCGAAGTCAGGGGGTGGAAGTTTCAGACAAGTGAGCAAGCAATAGTTGCCTGCTTCATTCATGAACCCAGGGCATAAATGAGGAAACTGAATCGTTAGATACCTGACCAGCTAGGTACTGAGTCAGGCACCTAGCTCGCTAACCGGCGAGTCTGGTGTTAGCTTGCTGCCTTGTAAGGTAACAAGCTAAGCTGTCGGATGGCTGGGTAGTCAGCTAACTCCGCAAATGCAGTGCCACCGGTTGGCGATGTATTTCGCCATTTAGCTAGATGGCACACTGCGACCATCAGCTAGTTTGTGACTTTGCGAGTCAGCGGGCAAGCCAGCCGTTAGTCTTGGGCAGGTTGTCCTTCAGCGGGTGTAGTGAGCTAGTCATCTAAGCCGTCTCTCTCTCTCTTTCTCTTTCTCTTTCTCTTTCTCTCTCTCTCTCTCTCTCTCTCTCTCTCTGTAAACGCATGCTGGCAAACAAATTATACCCCGCACACCCCCCCCTCCAGCCCACGGATGGATTTTCAACTTGACCGTATGAGTTCCGATAAACTTAAAAGCGCACACCATCATGTTGAATGCAACTTGCACGCTCGACAAGTGCGCCTTCCCAAGAAACATGATTTGCAACATTTCAATGACTTAGTGGTCCATCAATCAGTCCGTTCGTCTATAAATACGCCAAACAACCAGCCACATATGTAGTTAGTTGGTTGGTTCCTCAGCTTGCGTGTGCAAAGGGAATGACAAAGCATAGTCTGCTGAGCTGAAGCTACGGGAGGCCATTCTGCAAGCAAAGCCAAAAAAAAAACGAACGCCCTACTGTCCAATGTCCACGGCCTGAAAGTCCGCAAAGGGTTGCGCGATCAAAGCTCTGGTCCCAACAGTCCGCTTTCCAAGCGCACTCCCGAGATTGCTCTCAGTCCGCATCGCCAGGCAACACGACCAAAGTTTTGCACACCCACCGTGGAGCTGAATCATGCATATCCGCTCAGGGAACTGGGGTTGCTGGCTTCCGACCGTTAACTCATATAGTGGGCATACATGTCCAGCATCAGCACATGTGGATTGCTAACATGAGTTTGACTCCTGCAGGCAATGGCAAAACAGACACAAGACTGCCCTGGGACTGGGGCCAACCCTCTGGAGTCCTTCTTTGGAGAAGGAGTCTCCGTTCGCCAGGCCAGCAGCGTCACAAGCACCACACACCAGAGGGCCCAAAAGACATAGAATAGCCACTCCGAGCCTGCAGCTGCAAGGTGGGTGAGCTGGGCATATGCATGAGATGAGGTGCCACGCTATGGATCTCCGTTGAGACCGTGCAAGTTATGAATGAGGGGATTTTTCCATCACGAATTGGTCTATCGGCAGGGTTGACAAGGGGAACAGCATGGAACAGCACAACTGCAAGGGTGACTTGTTCAAGGCTAGGCCCTGCTCCAAATGAAGGTGCACTCACAGCCCCTCTCTCAAAAAAGGGAACTGTACGCCAAGGCGACCGAGGCGCCAAACTGCAGGGAAACAATGAGCACCGCCAGCACTGATAGCAAGGCGACCTCGTCTTTAACCCTTTCAAGTGCTGAGTGCTGCTGTGCCCCACAAAAAAATCTCTGCAACCCACAGCCCACGGGATGGCATGCAGGCACTGCTCATCTGCGGCTCCAAGTGGACGAAAAACTGCAGGCGAGCGGCCACGAAGAAATACAAAGGCCTGCATCAAGGGAGCGCATGGGGCCCGAAAGGCTGCCCGCCCCAAAGCGAGAAAGGTAGCTGGCGAGGGTTTCCGTGATGCTGTATATGCGACATGCACGGAGTACTTCGCGGACACTCACATGTTCCTGGACATGTGAACACCCACACAGTGCTGAGCCTTCCAGCCTTGCAACTTCCTTGCTTCACTGGCATGTTACAGGTTGGCCACATCCCTGGCAAACGATCCTTGCACATTGAGGTCAATCATTTGGAACAATGACTAAAAAAAACACGACATCAAAAGGTCCAAAGGCCGCATGCAGACTTTCTGACGCCGGCACAGCCAGGGCCACATCGACGATGACCCGTGACTAACTGTCACCCCACTTTGGCTTGCAAATCTTAGTGGTGCCTGGTCTCTAACCATCCTATCAAAAAGAGATCCGAATCCAACAAAAAGCCTGGCTCACCAGGAATCCTTCAAAGCAGCCTGCACATGTGACGGCAATCTCTCAGGATCCTTCAATCGATGCCCCGCATCTGGTCATGCGCTTCGCAGCTCTCCATGGCTTGGACTTGCCGAAGCCGGTCAAAGCTACAAGTCAAAACCCAAATACGCCCAGTGAACGGGTCCCAATCCAACCACAAAAACAGACGAAAACAGGTTCTAAAAATGGGTGATGCACCGAAACCCCCAAAATGGTACCATTGGTATTTACCCACGGCCAAATCGCAAGCTCGACGCAATGCGCTGAAGAAAGCATGGCCTCCATGCCACCATGTCTACGAGGGCA